GTAGGCAAGACAATTTTAGCTAACACATATACATTTTTTTATTTGAATAGTTCTGAGTCTATTTTCAGGCTGTGGTTTCACTCATGTTATTGCTTAGGGCAAGAATACATTAAGAAGGGAATCAATTTAAGCTTAATTTAGAGGGCAAGTTATAAAATAAAAGTAAAAATATAGACTACAGTTGGAATATGTATGTGGGAGAAAAATCATGCAGGCGATACCTAAGCGGCTGAAAAAGTTGTCACCCAACCTGTGATGCCATGTTCCCTTCTGCAAAACAAACCCTTCTGAGACAAGAGGCCTGATTGAGCTAATGAGCTTTGGAACCCGACAGAATATCTCAGACTGGGAGGATCGCAAAAAGAGGTGGAATCCAAAGGTCCCGGTCCAAAAACCAAGAGCCAACTCTTCAATTTGGCTCTGCCGGCGCATTTTGGGGCGATTTGGGCCTCTCTCTCTATCCCTTTTAAAAAAAAAATCACTGGGTCAATCAGTCAACCAATGCCTCAGGAGAAGGTTAATTAAGCTCAGATCTCGGTTGCAAGCTGCCAAAAGGTCCCCACGCCCGCCGGCCCCGCCCCACCACCAGGCCCCGCCCCCAGCCCCGCCCCCAGCACATCTGGAGAAAAGCTTTTTGTCCTGCCCCGCCCCGCAAGGCAGTGCTGCAGCCCGCGCATGCGCGTTAGCCCAGTGCTGGTGCTCCACGGTAGGGCTCCACTCCCAGAACTGCGGCATTGCAAACTGTTGCATCAGACATCAAGCGGCCGGCGGGGCCGCCAGGGTTTCTAGGAAGATAGGAAGGGTTTGAGCTCCTCTGTGGTCTCTTGGGAGCACTGGCTGTCACTCACGGTGTTTACACTCCAGTAACAAGATCTCCTAAAAATCTCAAGCTTGCACCGGTCAGGGTCCGTCCTTTGCCACCACCGCTCCTGCTCCCATTCATTATGGGCCCCAGGCTGGACCAGCTGGACTGGTTCCCATCTGCTTCATTCATTCACTCATTTTTGCAAGCGCTGGAGCTTGAATTCAGGGCCTGGGCGCTGTCCCTTAGCCTTTTGATTCAAGGCTGGCACTCTACCACTTGGTTAATTGAAGATAAGAGTGTCACACACTTTCCTGCCAGAGTGGCTTTGAACCATGATCCTCAGATCTCAGCCTCCCGAGTAGCCCACCAGTACCAGGCTCGGTCTGCTTTATTAATGGCCAGGATCCTGAAGGAATGAGAGGGTTTGATTTCTCTTCCCCAGTACAAGAATGCCCCTGAGGAATTTCACACTCTGTGAAAGTGCAAAGCTAATTTCCCCAGACAAGCGCACTATAGCCCATTCCCAAAAGGGCTTGGCGAGCTCCCAGCAGGAATGCTCAGAGCTTTCCAAATCTCTTTTCCTCAGCAACTGGATGTGCAGTCCGAGCGAGGAGCCTTTCTAGCACTTCACTGTGGGTGGCTGGACTTATGTCCTTCCCAAATAAATCTTCCTCTTGGCTTATCTCAGGTCCACATGTAATGGAGATTTTGGACACCAGCCAGAGAATGCACAACTCCAAACTCACACATAGGTGGCTCTAAAGAGTTCCCTTGATTCACATGGCTCAGCAACTATGGTCACAGAAAACCTGACATCCCCACTCTACCCTTTCTAATCTCTGGACCACTGCCTTTCTAAAAGGGAGAAAAAATAATAGTGCTGCACCTACAAGGGATTGTGGCAGTCTTGGGGGACAAAAAAAGTTCTAAATGGATCTTCAGGGACCAAAATCTGAATCCTACCCTACAATCTTCCTTTTATTTATTTATTTACTTATTAGGACAGTTCAAGACCAAGATCATTCAGTATTAATAGATTTTCCAGAAAGACAAAAACTGGCAGTTTACCTCAAGCATTTTGTCTTTTTTTTTTTTTTAGGGTGTTGGTGGTGAAAGTTTATTGTACCAAATAACCTGGAGAGTAAAATAAACCCAGTGTTTTGCCTTCTCATTATTGCCAATCACTCCATCCTCAGATTTAATCATCTTGGGGGGAGGGGAAGAAGAACTCAAAAGACTGGTAAGTATTCTCTAGTGCATCCCTTGCCAGACGGTCAGTTTTGTTTGTTTAAAGCAGCACTTTGCTGGCAACAGTGAAGCACATGGCATTGTGGGATTTTCATTGTAAGAAAGCCTTCTTGAGTGGCCTGAGCCACTTCGGTCACATTAATGGAGTTCACAAGATAACAAGAAACGGATGGGAAAGAGTGTTGGCAGGGTGCTAGAGCTGGAACGTCCCGAGTCCTGCTTCTGGAGGCAAATCTAGGCCCAAACCTTCTGCCTTATGGGTAAGTTCAGGGAGCTACGGCCTCAGGGAACTGCCAGGAGCACACAGAGCATCAGCTATTTCTAAGCAATAGTCCCCAGCTGGAGAAGCAAGTTCTTTATTATCTTGGGGCCAGGCATGAAAGTTGGAGACATAGCTGAGATCATCCTGGACAAAGAGAGAGAGAGGAGACCCTGGGTTCAATCCCCAGTACAGGGGATGGGACTGGAACCAGGAGGTCAGAAGCCAGTGGGAACAAGAGAAGGTAGCCTCAGGATTTCTATTGGGGTCTCTGCCATGCCCAAGCACTGCTACTTGGCAGGTTTTTGGTACATATCTGTGGAATGAATGTGCTGAAGGAATGAGAGGAGGTGCCTAGGACAAAGCAAGTGTCAGCTGGGACACCCTGATTCTCTCATGTTCGAGCAGGGAGGGGAATTCTGGTATAACAGACTTAGAGAAAGCTAGGGATGTAGCTCAAGTGGTAGAGCATGTGAAGCACTGGCTTCAATGTTCAGCAAAAAGGACAACAGAACCAGATCCATTAAGTGGGCTATTTTTCATTTTATTTTTTCACCTGGGTTTCCCTAGTTGGAGAAGCCACCTGTTGGTAATTCCACAGCTGAGCAGAATAAAATAAAATTAAGTAAGTACGGCAGTGTCCCTGACGGTCAGGGGTACAGACATGAGCTAAAGGTGGATTCCACTTTCTCACTGGCACTCACATCTTCCCCACACCATACAGACCCAGACAAAGCTCCTGTTCTAAGAGCTTATGATCTAAATTCCTTGTGGAAAGTCTGCCTTGGAGATGCTTACGGCACCTCATTTAGTCCTCATTTCCACTTCAAGTCATGTCTCTGCTTCCTGAGAACCCACCACATTTTAAGTTTGTAGCTGGGCCTTCCTTCTGCTTTTGCTATTTCGGTGCCAATTTAAAGGGTGGAGAGAGCCACATTAATTTTAAAATAAAACACAAATAGCAAAATGAGACTTGGTTGAAGTAAAAACCACAGAAGGGATTTTTTTCCCCCTGTCTTCCATATTTTTCAGATTTTCCTAGAACCACCTTTGTTTCCTTAAGCCCAGACATAGAAAGTGAGTGGGCTCCTCCGGATGCACTTCCAAACTCGGGCAAAAACCCTCCAGCCTTGCCTTGCATCTTTAGGCTTTGCTTTTTTATTTCTGTTTTAGACATTTGAGTCCTCAAGTGGGGCCAAGAAAGCTAGTCAAGCCTCCCATCGACTCAATGTGGCACACTCTGTGTGTGTGTGTGTGTGTGTGTGTGTGTGTGTACTGGGGCTTGAACTGTGTGTGTGTGTGTGTGTGTGTGTGTGTGTGTGTGTGTGTGTGTGTGTGTGTGTGTGTGTGTACTGGGGCTTGAACTCAGGGCCTCACTTGGGGACTGGCTTTTTTGCTCATGGCTGGTGCTCTACCATTTGAGTCATACCTCCACTTCCAGCTTTTTGGCTTCAAACCTCAATCCTCAGATCTCAGCTTCCTGAGTAGCTAGGATTACAGACATCAGCCACCGGGCCTAGTGATAGATTATTTTTTAAGGGTATCCCTTTGTAGCTCAGACTGACAACTCTTCATCCAACGTCCTCCACCTCCCAGGTGCTGGGATGATTGGAGTTCCCCACCATCCTGGGCTCTGGGTGCTGTTAAAGTAGGTTGTATCTTACCTATTCTGAACATTTGTGTCAGCTTGTCCAAATTCTGAGTGGTGGGAATACAGCTTTAAAGGCAAATGCTCCACTTACCAGTTTCTGGACCTCATCCATCCAATGGGAATAAAGATCCACACCTCTCAGAGCTGTGGTGAATCAATGAGTCAAGACCTAAATAGGGCTCAGGGCTCAGAGGCAAAAGCAGCTCTCAATAGGCGGTAGCTATTATGAAAATAGATCCTGGCATCTGTCTACTCCCTCCTTAACCAATTCCCCCCACCCCACTCTTATTTTGGAAAAAGAAAAAAATCGATATCCATTCCAAGTGGATGATTTATCCCCATTTTTCAGACCATGCCAGAAGGGGACCTGAGGCTGAGTTGAATTTGCAAACACTTGGACCTTTTAATGGTATGGAATACTTCTCCTTGTCTCCCAAGCAGCAGGTGACCAAACCCTTAGGCAGGAACTTGGGAAGCCCAGGAGGCAGATGGGAAGATGGTAAAGAGGGTGAAGCAGGTCCAGGACTGCCATCAAGAGGAAGGAAAGCTTCCAGGCGTCTGTCTGTCCATCTGTGTCTGTCTGTGGAGGTCCGCCTATCGGCCCCCAGGTCTGGAGATGGGAAGACTCCAGGCGCGAGCGACAGCGCCCTCTGCCGGCCTCGGGAGGCAAGCGCCGCGCGGAAGCCCGGTTCCCCCGGCCAGTGTGGGACTCGCGGCCCCTCCCCCTGCCTCCGCCCCGGGCTCCGTCCACGCTCGGACCGCTCCGCCGGGGCTCAGACTGTATTCCTTTCTGCTTGGATCTTTACCCTACACGAGCCGGAGGAGCGAGGACGGTGCTCCGACACACCCGATTCAGGCGGGGATCGAAGACCGCAGGAAGCTACCCCAACCCAGCCCGGGGCTGCGCCTTTTGGGATCCCCGGCCGGAGCTGGCTGGGCCATCGGAGATGGTTTTGGAAGTGGCATCGCCTATGGTCAAAGACCGCGGGGTTCTGCGGTGCAGAGAGGAGCCCAAGGTTGGCTTTCTGCCTCGCCCATTTTCCATCTAAGGTGACCTTGGGGCAAGGTACCGAAATCTGCCCATCTTTAAGATGGGTGGCCAGGCGAAGTTCCAGGGCGATCAGACAGCGTGGGTCAGAATTCTGGCACTGACAGTCGCCCAGCTGTGTGCCCTGGGGCAAGTTACTTAACCTCTCGGTTCCGGTTTCCTGCAAAAAATGAGAGATCAGAACGGTACTTACCCTCCAGCGCGGCTGCTTGCAAAACGCTTACTTAACACAGCGCCTGGCACAGAGAAGGCGCTCAATAAATGGTGGCTATTACGGTTGTGGTCGTCTTTATTACGAGCGCGGAGCGCTGGAGCAGAGCTCTGGCCGTCGCTATTGTTAGTCTCGTTCTCGGGTCCGGCAATTTCTTTCCGGACATTGTTATCTTTATTCTTATTCTAAACCCTGGCGCTTGCTTGCGTTTCTAATCACTCGTGGAAAGACAAGCCAGGCTTCCCGCCTGTTCCTCCGTTCCCCGGGAGGAGGTGGAGGACGCGGCCGTGGGCAGCGCTGGCCGGGGCCTCCCGGGGAGGAAGCCGGCCTGCGTCCCGGCCACCTCCGCCCCGCGCCCCGGGTCGGCGCACGTCAGAGCCGCAGTGACGTCGCCGGGCCTCGAACCCGGGGCGGCGCAGCGCTGGGGCGGGGAGGGGGGGAGGGGGAGAGGGTGGCTGGAGGGGGAGGGGGCGCGCGGCTGCGCACGCGAAGCGAGGAGGGGGAGGGGGGCGGCCCGGGTCGGGAGGGGGCGCCCGCCCGCAGGCCGAGCCTCCGAAGGGCTCCCCGGGTCCCCCGCGTCCCGAGGTGGCTCTCCGGGCGGCGGCAAGGCCGGCGGCGCCCCGAGCGCCGTTCGCGGGGCGCACCTGCGGCTCCGCGTGCAGCCCCTTGTGGGGAGGGGGCTGGCCTCTCGGCGTCTGCGCGGGCCGCGTCCTCGCTCCCCCCGCAGCCTTGCTCTGGGCCAGCGCGCGGGTTCGGGTCCGGGGCCAAGCCCTCGGCGGTCCGGGGTTCGGCGCCGCCCCTCGCAGGCGCCTCCCCGCCCGCCGCCCGGGCGCGCCCGGGCCTCCGCAGGCCCGCGGCCCCGCTGGACTCGCCCGGCACGCTTCTCCAACTTGCCGCATCCCGCCTCGGTCCTCCCCGCCGGTGCGGGCGCGGGCGCCACGCCGAGGTCACGGCGCGCAGCCTCCCCTCCCCACCCCAGCCGTCCTCCGCCAGACCTTGCGCTACGGTGCGCCGCACAGATTCCCGCAAAGGTCTTCCATCGCCGCGCGCCCCCGCCCGCCTCCACTCCGCGGGGCCCCCGCCACCGAGAGAAGCCGCGCCTGGCCAGGCAGCGGTAGGGCGGGCCTGGGGGGGGGGGTGGAGGGGGCGCCATCCAGGCTCTTCCTGTCTTCGGAGACACCCCGACCTGCCTGCCATTTGCTGACGGGAGCGAGTCCCTGCACCACGGCAGGTGTCCGGTGTTGTTATTTGCTGTTGGCTCTAATGGAAGGGATTGGACCCTCCCCTCCCCCCCCCCCCGGCTTCCTTTTACTCATAACCCATCCCCCCCCCACACCCCCAAACTCAAGACGGTGAGTCACCCCTTCAAGGACGCCCCCTCCTCCCTTCTGCTGTCTGGCTGACTGAAGTGTCTCAGGGCCTCCTGCTGATTTCTGTCACGTTTGGGAGAGAGCCCTGACCTTTCAAGATGGCCAACGTCCTGTGCCCGCCCCCAGCCCAGCCCCTTCCTTCCACTGCTCGAGTGTCCACCCTTTCCGGCTCAGGTCTTTGCACACGTGGTTCTTTCTGCCTCGATCCCTCTCCACCCTTCCTCACTTGATTTTTCCACTCTTCCTCCTCAAGGAAGTAAGCACCATTTCCTCCCAGGAGCCTTCCCTGCGCCTTCACTTCACCCTTCCGAAACTCAGTCAAATCCGCTTTTGATAAGGTGTAAGTTCAGTCCTAAAAAAATAACAATCTGACGCGTGTCAAAACTACAGAGAAAATATAGACACATTCTCCCCTCCTCCCTCTGTCAAAACATTGCCCTATTTAATTCAGCTCTTTTGCCAGGCGTGGTGCTTCATCCCTGTAATCCTAGCGACTTTGGAAGCTGAGCTTGAGAGGACTGAAGTTTGAGGCCAGCTTGAGAAAGAAAAGTTCTCACAACCCCTTCTCAACCGTAGCTGAGCATGGTGGCTGTGGGATGATCACCCTAGCTACCTGGGAGGCTGACTTCAGGAGGATTATGCCTCCAGGCCAACCCAGGCAGAAAAGTCCAAGAGACATCTCAACAGTAGAAGCTGGGCATAGTGATATACACTTCTCATCCTAGCTATGACCTAAAGCTTCAACTAGGCTGGTCACAATCTGGGTATGCCCCTAGACAGGAAGTGAGACTGAAAAAGGACCTGAGACCTAGCTCAGTGGTAGAATACTTGTTTAGCAAGCGCTGGGGCCTTGAGTTCAAACTCAAGTATTGCAAAACAACACCAACAACCTTTAATTTTATTTTATTTCATATTTATTTATTTATTTTGTCGGTCATGGGGCTGGGCCTGGGCACTGTCCCTCAGCTCTTCAGCTTAAGACTAGCGCTCTACCACTCAAGCCACAGCATCACTTCCAGCTTTCTGGTATTTTATTGGAGATAAGAGTCTCATGGACTTTCCTGACCCGGCTGGCTTTGAGCCATGATCCTCAGATCTCAGCCTCCTGACTAGCTAGGATTACAGGTGTGAGCCACCAGCACCAGGCTCTTAAATTTTTTTTTAATTAAAAAATTTTAATTGTTATTATAAAGGTATGTACAAAGCAGTTACAGTTACATAAGTCAGGAAATAAGTATATTTCTTTTTGGACAATGTCACCTCTTCCTTTGCAAAAAGAAAAAAAAAAGATCTTTAAAAAAAATCTTTAAAAGGATGCGTAAAAGCTTGCAGATCTAGATGTAGGCTTTGAGATCATTTCTGTCCCTCCCCTGTCCTAACTATATCCCTGCATTTGGGGTTCAACATTCCCAAACACACTTTTACATTTTTACTACTTATCTCTGCACCTTGTAAGCACATCATAGAATTGTTAGGTGTTTTTAAAAGAATATTTTATTTTGTCACCGTTAGTTGAACCTTGAAGAACTAGCATCATACTAAGTATATAATTCTGGATTGGAGGTGTAGCTCATGTGGTAGAACACTAGCCTTGAGTGGAAAAAGCCAAGGGAGAACGGGCGGGCTTGAACTCAAGCCCCAGTACCACATACACATGTGTGGCACACACCCACACGTGCATGAATACATACACAAATATCTCACCATGCACTTGCCTTTCCCCTCAGCAGTATATTTTCCAATGAATCTGCATGAACACATGAAGTTCTATCACCCATTTTCACTACTGATGAGGGTCCCCTTACATGAATTCAACAGTGGATTTTGCCAGTCTCCTTTTGGAGGATGCTTTACCTTTGTTGTTGTTATTGTGAAGAGCAATACTGCCATAACTACTCTTACGCCCTTTCCCTTGCACAGAAGTGGGTCTTCAGGATAGATTCTGGAGAGCGGCACTCAGGACGTGGGGTTGGCAGCTGTAGTGGGTGTGGCGAACTGGATTTTTGCACCGATTCACAGTTGCAGAGCAACCTAAGAGCGTTCCACATCCTCAGCAACACTTGGTAAGGTCGAGCTTCAAAAAATGTTGCCAAGCTGCTGGGTGTGAGATGGCATTTCGATGTTTTCCTTTGCAATTGCCTGTTTACCAGGGAGACAGGCAGAGCCTACTTGCTTTGTTTATTGGCCATTTGCCTTTCTTCCTTTTTAGGTTGGCTGTTGCTTTCCTAAGGCTTCCGTTAGAGTATCTCTTACTATGTGTCAGAGTTCTTTATATATTCTGGATACTAATCCTCTGTCAGTCAGTGGCCCATCTGGTGCCGTTTGTACCAATCAATTGTAATTTTAGATTGGTGTGACTATCTGATGAATGTCTGACTTTCCTACTAGTGAATAAGCATCAGGAAAAGAGAAATCATCTCCTACAAGGAGTGCAGTGTCTAACAAGTATCAAGAACTCAATAAAGAAAGACTTCTGGACAGCCTAGCACCAGTGACTCATGCTTATAGTCCTAGAGACTCAAGAAGCTGAGCTCTGAAGATCCCAGTTCAAAACAAGTCAGAGCAGATAAATCCATATCTTCAATTAACCAGCAAAAGGCTGAAAATTGAGGTTTGGTGCAGTGGTAGATCATCAGTTATGAGTGGGAAAAAAAGTGAGCAAGAGGCCTTGAGTTCAGTTCAAGTCTCAGTAACAGAAAAACAAACCAACCCCCCCCCCCAAAATCTGGATAAAATGCAATGATAATTAACCATATTCCTTTAAAAAATATGTCTGCCCCTCAAGTTCTTATACTCTTTGAGAGCATGAATCTGGTAATACTGTATTCATCTTTGTATCTCCAATACCTGTCACAACATAATGCCTTGGCTTGAGACTATACAGTCATAATTAATTAATAATTAATTTTTGATGTTAGTACTAGGGCTTGAATTTAGAGCCTTGAGATTTTGCTTGGCTTTTTTTTTTCTGTTCAAAGCTGATGCTCTATCACTGGAGCCATACCTCAACTTCAGGCTTTTTGCTGGTTAATTAGAGGTAAGAATCTCACAAACTTTCTTGCCGGGGTTGGCGTTAAACCATCATTTTCAGATTTTAGTCTCCTGAGTAGCTCAGATTACAGGTGTGAGCCATCGGCCCTCACCCCGAATAATTTTAATGAATTAATTTCCTCTGTGATTTTCTTTCTTGTTTTCCCCTTGTTCTCAACTCACCTATTTTTGCAGCCCAGTTACATTATCTATAAAATGAATGCATAATAAAAATGTGTCAGTATATTTATGAGAATCACATGACATATGCATTAGTGGGTACTTAGCACATTGTGGGTTCTCAAAGTACTGACTTTCAGTACCTGCACAACAATCCTTTTGGTCCATAACACTGATTAATTTTAGCAGAAAGTTCTTTCCTAGAGAGAATAAAAGTGAACCTTCTGAAGATCTGGTGACCGAGATTTTTTTTTTCCCTTTTATTGGCATTTGACCCACAATATAAGGCTCAGTCCCAATGCAATCTCTAAAAAGCATCAAATATCATTCTTCTCTTTTTCTTTTATAAATTCCAGACATATCAAAGACATGTGAGCCATACCTAGATTTCAGACCTTTCTATGGAGGTGTCTAAGGGCCAGTCCCTCACTTTGCCCACAAGTAAGAGAGCAGCAAGGCCTGTCAGCCATCCTAGAGTGGGAGTTCGGAGGCTGCGGCTGGGAACAAACACAAGAATTCTCACATCTGTTTCTCGCATCTGCCATTGATTGTGTGGCCTTCGATCTATTTATAAAATGAAGATCATAATCCTTGCTTCTTTTGGAGGTTGAAACTCATTAATTACTCTCTTCAAAATTCGTTGAGAGCCTCATCATAAAAAGCAGTTCTCACACATTGAAATAAAGCTCCCCCAAAGGTAAATGGCCCTGCTATAGCACCTGTCTCTAGAACAAAGGAATACAGGCTTCACTTTGCTAGTGTGACCCTTCTTACACTTGGCATTTACTTTTCGCTTAATGCACTATCTTGGAACTAATTCCCTGCAGGAGCCTGCATGGTATCACTCTGTATTTATTTACTGTGAACATTTAGCTGGGTTTTTTTTTTCTTCTTTTCATTTTCGGTGTCATCTGGAACAAATCAACACAAACTTAGTGGCTTAAAAGAACTCAGGTGTTTTATTTTACCCTTTGGAGTTGGGAAGTCTGAAGTGGGTCTTGCTGGGCTAGTCAAGATGTCAGCAGGAACACGCTTTCCCTGGGAGCCTCTAGGAAGGGATGTGGCCTTGTCATTTCCAGTTCCCAGAGACACCCTGCTTTCCTTGGCTCCTGACTCCATCTGCAAGACCAACAACAGTAAGTCAAGTTTGTCTAGTTCTAGTCCCTTCCCTCTGACTCTCCTTGTTACCTCTCACTGGCTTTTTAGTGATTCCTATGATGACTTTGTCCCCTGAATAATTCAGACTCCTCCTCCTCCTGCTTCTCCTCCTTTTTCTTCTTACTACCATTTTGTTCCAGGTTTGAACTCAGGGCTTGGGCACTGTCCTTGAGCTTTTTTAAAATTTTATTTTATTTTTTCTCAAGGCTGGCACTTGAGCCACATCTCTACTTCCAGCTTTTTAAAGGTGGTTAATTGGAGATAAGAGCCTCATGAACTTTCCTGCCCAGGCTGGCTTTGAGCTGTGGTCCTCAAAACTCAGCCTCCTGAGTAGCTAGGAT